CTGGCATGACTTCGTGTTTTTGTTTCTCCACTTGACTCCTTACGAATTTGGGCGGATAATGACGTGGCGGAATTCGCAACTTCTATCACCACCTCTTACCGTCGGTAAAACTTTCCATCACTACCTGTCCATCCATACTGCGCAGTAACTCAGCAATCATTATCCTGAAGGGGCCCTTAGATGTGGGCAAGAGAAAGTGCTGGGGCACAAAAAAAAAAATAAAAAATTGAGTCATTTCCTCGCGACATCAGTCTCAAGTTTGTAACTTACTCTCTGCCACACTTTATTTACTTATTCACATTTATGCAGACGAGGCACGTCTCATCACACTCCCTCGGCTATATATACTAAATGAGTGAATAAGTCAAACCCCCTGTCATTGGCCTGGGCCTAAGAGAACTAAGGAAAAGAACTTTTCAAAGGCTCAATGTTTTAACCCCTTAATACACAGCGCCTTTATCCTATGAGAGAACTGTGAAAGAGCTTCTCATGCTTAACTGACTCTATATCTGAGGTGAAAGAAGTGGTACAGCAGTCAACCAAACCTATCAAAATATATTGTAACAACTAATTCTACACTTGTACCACTGAAACAATGGCTGGTCACATACTTGAACACCCTGACGACGTCGAACGCATAGTTTAACAGGATGGAAAAGGAAAGAGCCGTCTACTGCCGACAAGTTCACCAATGCCTATGTTGTCATCTCTCGTCATCATCCTCCCCTAGTACTCTCCCGCACTTTCATGTTCCTTTCAATAGCCTGATTGGATTCATTATTTGAGCACGACAGAGCGCCGGTTGTCATAATCGGTTAACACTGACAAGAGTCCCACAATGAGACGGACCTCAACCCATGTCCTTACGGCAGTAGTAGAATAACCAGAATACTCGATGATGTCCGAGAATGAAGCAAGCAAAATGACAGGGATCTGTAAGTCGGGAATTACGGACTATCCAAGCCCAGATCATTGAAAGAACTCCCAAGTGGCTCGAGGCTAACAAACCGGACCCCTCACTCGAAGGAGAACTGTGAAATTCAAGAAGAAAGTTCAAAAATTGCTGTTATTCGAAAAAAAAATAGAGGTTGAAAGTGCTGATTCGCAGCACAACCAATACTTCCATTCTCCCAAAGCTACCTTACCGGTGTCAAATTCATAGGAAGATTGGTAGCTCTGGTAGTGGTATTGCATGTTAACTGACAGTCCAGGCCAAATATGCTCACATTCAAACAGCGTGTATTTAAATCGGATGTTGTGGTCGAACGACAGCAACAGAATTTCCAACCACATCGCGGACCCATTTTATCTGTACTTAATTATTTACTCAACGATAAGTTCCTCCCCACCAAACGCTGCTAATCCCTTCCTTACTGTGGTGTGGTCTGACCAAACAATCTCGCAATCAACACTCGATGTCTTCAAGCCCTTCGATCAATCCCAAAGACCACGTATCCAATGGAAAACGATTGTGCGAACCATAACAAAAGCTATGCTAAACAGCTCAGTAAAAACGATAAGAACAGGTAGGAACATAAACAGTATAAAGTGAATTCTGAAAAATCCAGAACCATAAGCCATATTGTTTGTTCCATAAGCTCTGTATCGAGGCGAAGGCTACTGCTCACAGAGACCTTTCCATATATATATAGTGGCCAATAGCACAAAGAAAACCTCCGACAAAAACGAAGCGATAGCGCTTCCATGTGTGAAATTCATCAACTGAATGAAAATGCCAACCAGTCAAGCTGATCAGCTGATGTAAGTAAGCCGATAATGCTTCTGAACCCTATTTATAAAAGAAAAAGAGATAAGAGTAAGTATCCGCTCTCGAATTTGTATTTCCGGTGCTTTCCGATCAAAAGATAGCACATGGCAGTTCGGTTTCACTAGATTCAGTACATTCTGTCCAAAACACGAGCTCCGTCATTAACCCTTTGACGACCATGGCACCCGCCGGCGGGTGCCACTATGACTGGCGCATGGGACCATGGCACCCAATGTTGGGTGCCACCATGTTTTTTTCTTTAATTGCACATTTGAAACTTATTTGATATTTTCATTATTAACCCATTGACGACCATGCAGTCCACATGTGGACTGCACCGTTTCGGCCACGTGGGACCGTGCAGTCCACATGTGGACTGCAGTTGCATTTTTTGTTTTATTTATGTATATTTCCATTTTTTTACCATTTTTCTTCTCAAAACATTACATCAGGTCTAAATGAAACTACATACAGCGTGGTCCATGGAAATCTTCTAATTTCACACTTGTAAAGGTGTTTTTTCGAAGGAGTACATTACCTTGGTGAACTCTTTGTTCGTTCAACAACTTCAAAAAATGGGATATTTCTGAAAGACTGTCGTCATTAGCATTTTCGCAGTTATCGACCAAACGCAAAGCTCCCAACGCAACGCAAATAAAAGTTCCCCGAAGCGATTTCTGGTAATGATTGAACTCATAATTGAATGACCACTAAAACGAGTGCCGATTCCATAACAAAGATCAATAATCACTCAATATGGGCATTCTTACCAAGCCCATTTGAAGGATTATTCGTGAAAACTTATAACTTTCTCTTATAAACTTGAAAAAGCGGTCATGCTGGACCATGAAGTCCACAAAAGGGCTGCAGTCGCGGATGGACGAAAAGCGCGCTGGTCCCTCGCGGCGTTTTCCCGTAAAACGCCGTGGTCGTCAATGGGTTAATAACTAACTTCGTGGTATTTATATTCAACATGGTCCACATTATTGTTTTATTAAAGCTTATTTATTACAAACGTATATATACAATGGGGTATTACTGAAGAAAAAATCTAGGTACTTCCGCAAGATTTTTGTTCGTCCTGGAAACATTGCAGACAGAAAAAGCCGTAACAACTGTTGCACTAAGTTCTCACTTTCTTAGGCGCACTAGCAAAGCATAATTAGATACTAAAGAATCTTAATGTAATACGCATCTTTTACTGTAAACACTATTTTCAGAATTTGTCCCACGTTGCTTCCAAACTCCATTTTCAAGCCTCACTTAATTATAATTGATGAAATGATATTTTGATACTCCCATTTCAAGCGAAATATTGCTAAACTTATTGAGTCAGAGAAAGTAGTTACCCCTGGGACCATGGCACCCACCGGTGGGTGCCAGTCGCGCACGAAAGGAAAGGAGCGTGGTCCCATGGGCGCGTCACGTCGAAATCGGCATTGTCGTCAAAGGGTTAATCACAGCTTTTGAGGGGGCCTTGGAACCTAACTGAAAGACCAACTTGGTAAGAAAGTAGCTAGATAGAAACTCGAGTTTATTATTCGCCGGAACAATGCGAAACCATATGTTGGGCCAGCGTTTTTGAAGGAAATCGCATCTGGGAAGTCTGACGCAAAAATAGCTTTTCTCCGACCTAGCGCCCATCAACAGTCATATGTAATATCACTGAACAATATTTGGCACTATTTACCCTTTACTGCCCCACCTTGTCGAGAATGGGCTGAATTTCTAGCGAATTTTTTCAAAGAAGGTGAAACCGGCTAGGAACTTGCCTACAGAGGTAATTTGACCCGTAGAACACGATTATTCCATTCATTTGTCATAAAGATGCCTATCGCCTGCGCTACAGGCGCCTGCGCCAAATCGCTGGGTCACCGATCCTGCTGAAAACTTGCCCCTAATTAGGGTCCCAGGCGTTTTCATGATGAGTGGATGCGATATTCGTGTTCTACGGGTCAAATTACCCCTCTAGGCGAGTTTCTAGCCGGTTTCATCTTCTTTGAAAAAATTCGATAGAAATCCAGCCCTTTCTCGACAGAGTGGGGCAGTAAAGGGTAAATAGTGCCCAATATTTTCTTCAAGAAAAAAGTAATTCGAAACATAGCGGATAGCCAACGGGCACTTTTAATTTTTCACCCTCTTAAGCTAAACTATATTCGGAATGGTATTGACAAATTACCATCTCGCAGTAGTCAGATAAGGATCAAACTCCTTTTGCACTTCAGATGACACTACACAAAAGGAAAACCTGTATGGTCTCAGCTTGTTTCAAAAGTCTTGAACCAAAACACGACTGTTTCAAGCATTCCATATTTTCCTTTACAATCATAAGGGTCTATCACAATTATCCTTTTACTCTTATGGAATATTATCATCAATCCCAACTCCCCAGCAACTGGTTATTTATTCATGTAAATAACTCCGCCGAAGGTCGCCAATTATCGAGCATCCACTTGACATGGTTGCGCTTGCGCAATTTTTCGTTGTAATTGACCTCTACTCTCTTGCTCAATACGGTAAGACTGTGAGTACCCTCGTTTGAACCCCGTTGGATAGCTATCAAGCATTCGGTGACCGCTCCGTATTCTCCCGTGCAAAGCACTTAATTCCATTATGTAGATGTGATTGAGGCGTTGTGACGTCCGTAATGAGGTAATCCTTTTATAAGAATCGGGACCGGGTTTAATCCTGGCTAGGGTCGTTTCGCAAACATTCTACGCTCTGATTAGTTACGGCACAAACATTATGTGAGCCAAGCTTACTCGTCATGCGCGCCGACATTTCACGTGGTCGACAAGACGGGAATGGCACAACGACAAGGAAAGGTCGGATCAAACTGACAATGAGAACACCTGGCAACGAGTGGAAAGATCTGTTAACGATCCCGAAATGAAATGTTAGTCAGTCCCAGATGGATTCAGCGTCTGGGCTGATTCTTGGCATCGGCATTTAAACGACACCCAAGCTCCATGTGCATATTATGCCTACCATAAAATGTTTATAAAGATATTTTCGTCTTGTTAGACCAACCATCTTCGCCACTGCCAAGGGACCTCTTGCAAAAGCCTATAAGCATAACACACGAATGTTAGGGTTCCCTTTGGACACTGAGCATAAACACTTATGTGAAGAAAATGTTAAGTAATTTATCCATACAAAATAAACAAAAAGAAGTTCTTTGAAAAAGCGAAATTGACTGAAAAATATGAGCAAAGCGTAAATGCATACTGAAAACTTAATTCACATACCTCTCCAACTTTTCCCGACGTATTCAATTTTGCGGCTGCTTCTCGTTCTTTTGCTAATAAGGCTCCCTTTTCATCATCGCTTGAATCTCGAGCACTGACGGGTTTTTCTCTGGATGAAGAGGCCGCTGCCGGAACACGGCCTTTCTCGTCCTCGTTTGCCATAATCATTGTGGCCAGTCAACCAGGTTCTCCACAGAACACACCTAACTGACCTGAAAACAGTCCGTTTTGAACATTGCTTTTTGCTTACATAGTTTGTATACAGAGCGATTACACATAGATAGAGGAAGTAAGGTATAGAAGTAACAAAACGACAGGAGCCGCAGCAACGAATGAGAGGTGGACAATGGAAGTCTCAGTTAACATAAAGGTTTTGACATTTGAGAGGAACGACCACATCATCCCAACTGACAAGCAAATCACTACGTAACGAAAAAAGACAGCGCAAATGTGAAAATGGAGAGAGAACTCTGAGCAAATACGCGACAATGGTAATCATCGGATTGAAAGCAGTAAAGCCAATCGGGTTCAAGGGAAAAAGTGATGCGTACTGTTCAAAGAGAGAATTCTCTCAAATTAATTAAAGTGGCAATCACATTGACTGAGTAAAAGCCAATTCGATAAAGCATTCGCGACCGAACAACGCCCCCAAAACTTTTCCTAAAAGGTTTAAGTGAGGTACCTCAGCCAGCACTCGTCGTCACGCCAACCTATTGCATCATCGAGAAAGAGGGCGGGTCTTTTCGGAGGAATGTTTTAAAGCCTACATTTATATCTAATCAATAAACACTAAAACAGTAAAATTCTGCGACCCAGTTCTCATGAACACAGCACATCCGGGAAGCTAGCAGACATCCCCATTATGGCCTTCTCCACTTTCACTCATCAGCGACAACGTCTCAAATATCTTTCACTGCGCCACGGGCCAACATCTCAATCTATTTTGCTGAACTTTTATCGAGCGCCGACCACACTAAGATTTAGGCATATTTCAGGTGCTCCAAGACGGACTCAAGCACGCAGCAAGAGAGATCCACAACAAAAAGCTAAGGGCGTATATGAGAAAATGCGGGCGACAGCATTCAGTGCTTTATTTTTCTGGTGATGTTTGCCTGGTAGATGGGCAGGTATCATGGCAAGTCCTGTAAGCAGATGACTAGAACACCCAAATAGCCTACAACCTTGGGTTCAGTCAATTAATAGTAAAGGGTGATAAAACAAAATATTTATATAAAAATCATTCAAATGAAAGACAACTAAGGGGATGGTGCTGGTTGCGATTTCATAGCCAAGTTTTCTACAGACTTTCCTATATGACAAAATTAATGCTTTCAAAGATATGACTTGGGAAATATCACAAATAGAAAATGCCCCACAAAAATTCTGAGTTCGCAAGTGAAAACGTATTCAGTGTGCCCACAACAATCAGAGGTGCCATCCTAGAGCGGACTTTACAACTGCATAGCAACCGACATCAGTAATGAGAACGATAGAGAGCCTGACACCATTTCGATGTTAATCATATTCACTGTTATGAATAATAAAAAGTGACAGAGAATCAATGGAGATTGGGTTGGGATAAAGCCAGCTGACCACAGCGGCACTGATAACTGAACAGTGATACAAGAAGTGTCTGATAATCACTAATGATGACGTGTTCTGAAAATTATGCGTAATAATTGTATGAATATGCAAATGAATCACACATTAAATCAAGGCTACTACGAAGAAAAGGAATAAAAGTTAAAGCTGTGTGCAAATCAGGATGAAAAGGGAAGAGTAAAGAGGCGATGGAAAGGGAACTGTCCTCGCAATATCAACCAGCCCTTCCACAGAGTACACGTAATTGACCTGAAAACAGCCTTCCCGTGCCGGACACTGCGGTTTGTTTATATAGCATGTTTACAGAGCCGTCACACATAAATAGTGTGGTTTTGAAGCAGGGAAGTTATAAAATAAAATGAGGTATCCGTGGCAACGAATGATAGGTTGATGAAAGGCTCAGTTAATATAAAGGTCTTGATTTCGGAGAGGAATTATCATGCTATACCAACTGACAAGTAATTTATTAGAAAAGTAAAAACGAGATCGTAGACGCGAGAGGAGCAAGGCTTCCAATATCACTGGAAAAAGTCAGTTACCCTGCAAACAATAAGGATAACCTGAGACGGTGTTTGGAAAACAAATAATAGGATTGATGAAGTTTGTGACCATCGAGCGAGTGATACTCGCTGCTTCCTAAAAATACCTGTTCAAAACAGCTGCCCATATGAATGGAGAAACATACAAGAGCACTTGTGAAGTATATGATGTGTGGGAACCAACTAAGGTGACATTCGGAACTCGAATGCACCACGCCAAAACTCCGCCCCCTCAAAGTTTCTGTGGGACAAAAAGAGTCTGCCACAGCGCAAGGGAATGACAACACCACTTAACATTCCAAAGTAGACTGAATAACCAAATGAGAATGAATAGACCGAGTTCCCTTCGAAAATTGATGATATAGATGAGCATATGTCAAACAGAACCCATGACCGACTGAAATCTGATATGTAGGTCGTACGAGTCACGTATTCATAGCGATAGCCCATGTCAGGAAGGGTTCAAAGATCAGTGTGATCAGCCATATTTGTTTAACGGCCTTTCCTTGGCATGTTCTCCTTGAAATGGTGTTGTGGGAAACACGCGAACGAAAACAAATCGGGTGGGAAAACATTTAAGGCATTGGTATGGTTCAGGAATTGGAATTTCCGAGATATTACAACGCTTGCAGGGTAGTCGTTCAATGAAGATTACAACTAATCGTTAAAAGTGAAGATATTAATCAGATTTCCACCCCAAAATTTGGAATCAAGGCCAATCGGCTCTCTCCAAAGCTTCGCATGAGAACTATTAATCTGTTTCCAAGGCAAGAAAATCAAGCAGAAAGCAACTCCCGTCCTTAGAATTGCATATAGCAATGATCAGTTGAATTTTCTTACAAGCATGGTCTAGATGGGGTAAATTAAACACAAAAAAGAAAACAAAACAATGCTGATATTCCTTTTAGCGGCTCATTTTTGTAAACCTCATTCAGAATGGGCTTCAAGTTGAAGCATCATTTCAAAGGTTTCCCTGTTGGCTTGCTTAGCTCTTGAATTCGCGTTTAGGACCCTAATACGAAATGCTGCAAACGTGGAAAGTGTCATCAAAGTACGCAACTAACTACAATAATCCCAATTGAAGAGGGTACATTCTCACACTCGCAGCGGCTACCAAATCGATGCAATGGCCCGAGCCCATTTCATTTTACAACCCGTTTGGCGTTAAAAAAAGCACGGGATTCGATCAGACCTACATACACAACCCTGAAAACATTTCACATTTCAGCCTGCCTGACGATTTTGCCACTAATGGTAGGCTCGAGATGAGGGGAAGCAGCAAAATGAAAACGATTGAAAAAGGAAAATTCCAATAAATCTTGGGAAAGGCTGGACGTCCCTTCCGGACCCTACGTAAGTGGAGCTAAGGGCAGGCGGGAAAGTGTTTCCTATTCCGATCTCAAAGAACACCACGTGCACCAACATCATAGCAGGGAAAGGAGCTCCTATGAGCTCAGCCAAACCGACATCAACCACTAAACTGTATATGAATGAGTGGGCTCATTCTCTACGAAAAGCAGCTCGCCACTGCTGCTTAGCAAGAATATTCAAGGCACTGTAGCGTGGGGCATGGGGAAAGAGCTCTAGGTCGCAAAGCGGTTTATTTAAGTGACCTGTCAAAGTCAAAGTATTCAGTTTTTAGCTGTATTCTAGAACTCTCTTGCGACACCTGTCAACCATAAACTGGTCAAGACCGCACCACCTGGACTCATTCCTGTTGTGATGAAAATGTAAATAAATTATAAACAACTCCTCGGAGCAAATCGCGATGAGCCAATGAACAACTAAAAAATTTTGAGGTTCTTGGAACCATATTATGTAAAAGTACATATCATGTCTAAGTAAAAAAAGCGGTAAACGCTGAATGACTTCCCTCCCCCTCAAAAATTTGCAGAACGTTCATAGTTCCTATGGTGCGCTAGCAAAGAAGTCAGTTTAGTAACCGGTTATTGGTTACTTTTTTCCAATAATTGGAAGAAGGAAAGAGATCTCAAAACCGACATAATAGTACTGATGGAAATGGAAAGGCGAGAAGAGCCCAAACACAAATAAATAAGTCACCTGAGCATTGCGTCGCGTATTAATCCTAAGATTATTGATATGACCACAATTTTCCCGTTGATAAGGCGAGCCATTAAAACCGAGAATGAGCATATTGGTCGTGGAACTAGCAAAACNTGGTCGTTCATGGCCGGGAACTGAGCCATCTGCATGGCAATGAAATTCAATTTGCGAGCACAATACGTCGGTTGACCACAAATTCAACGACATTATAGACAATGGTGATACTATTTTTTGCCTAGAAAAGTGGTACAGTAGCCTTCACAAACATGAAATATTCAAAAAATCATATGCGACATAGAAAAGATCAACACAATAATTAATAACAAAAAAAGAGATTCTAGATGTATTTGAACGATACCAAGCGACAGTGGAACATACTCAGGCGTGAAATCAAATGACTGAAAACACAAAGAACACTTGAAGCTTGGAATTCAAGCACCCTCGCTATGAGAAAGACTGGAATATGTTCTGAAAGCACCAGCTGTTCACCCAACTTTCTTCGAAACTTTCAGTCTCAATTCAAACGCGAACTCAGGCACGGAATTGCTCAGGCTTTTGGCCGGTGATTTAACCTACATAGTTTAACACATTCGAGAAACTTCGAAATCATAAGAAATCAGTAACTTCGCGGAATCTGGACTATATGACTGGAAATAAAAAGGATGCAAAGAGTAGCTATACAATTACTGCAAGATAATTTAAAGTACCAAATACTGTTGGGACAAATGAGAGGCTTCATTCGAAATGACAGTCGATGTGACTGAATTTTCTGCGAATGAAAGCAACGGCACTCGTACGTTATCTCTAGAGAAGTATGTTCAACAACGTCAAAAGAAAAAACAGTTGAGTGTGCGCAGCAGTAAAGCGCAGCGAGCGCATTACTCCCGAATGACTGGAAATTCCTCGGCACTCGTTTCGCCCACTCCTTCCCTCAATTCCAGAATGCCATAAACCATTTCATGG